GAGTAAAATCTTTTTTAATTATTATTTTAAAAATTATTTTTATTGTAAATATATAATAATTCAACATTTTTCAAGTGTACATTTTAGTGATATCAATTACTATAATCATATTGTGCAACTATCAACCATAATTGTTGCCAAATGTCCCATCACTGCTCCCTGACCTCACTGCTCCCTGCAGGATTCTGATTGGGTCATGACAAGGTCAGACTGACTCATGGCTCAGGAAGAGGTTGGAGGTGGGAGGCTGGAGGAGGTAATGGTGATAGTCCAGTGGAGAGATGATGTGGGCCTAGGGGAAGGTGAGGTCAAGGAGGTGACAGGCATGAGAAATGCTGATGGAATCAGAAAGAGATAGCTGGGAACCTACTGGATTTGAGAGGCATGAGCCAGCACCCTGTGTGTGCTAGTGGGTATGGATGGAGATGTGTGTGTGTGTGTGTGTGTGTGTGTGTGTGTCAGGGACAGACCTCAGGCCTCAGACCCCACCAGGCACAAGTGAAATCTTGCTGAAGATCATTCAAAAATGGTTGCAGCAGTATATTGACACGGGACTTCCAGAAACACAAGCTGGAATCAGAAGAGTATGTGGAATGAGGGATATCATTACTGATGTCAGACGGATCTTGGCTGAAAGCAAAGAATAACAGAAAGATGTTTACTTGTGTTTTATTGACTATGCAAAGCACTTGATTGTGTGGATCATAACAAATTATGGATAACATTGAGAAGAATGGGAATTATAGAGCACTTAATTGTGCTCATGAGGAACCTCTGTACATAGACCAGTGTCATTCAAACAGAACAAGGGGATTCTGCATGGTTTAAAATCAGGAAGGGAGTGCATCAGGGTTGTATCCTTTTGCCATACTTACTCAATCTATATGCTGAGTAAATAATCTGAGAAGCTGGACTATATGAAGAAGAGTGTGGCATCAGGATTGGAGGAAGACTCTAACAAACTGTGATATGCAGACAATATAATTTTGCTTGCTGAGAGTAAAGATGACTTGAAGCACTTACTGATGAAGATTAAAGACACCACTCTGCTGTATGGATTACACCTCAATATAAAGAAAACAAAAATCCTCACAATGGGACCAATAAGCAGCATTATGATAACTGGAGAGAAGACTGAAATTGTCAAAGATTTCATATTACTTGGTTCCACAATCAACACCAATGGAAGCAGCAGTCAAGAAATCAGATGACATATTGCACTGGGCAAATCTGCTGCAAAAGATCTCTTGAAAGTGCTGAAGAGTAAAGATGTCTCTTTCAAGACTAAGGTGCGCCTAGCCTAAGCCATGTTTTTTTTTTCAATTGCCTCATATGCACGTGAAAGCTGAATAGTGAATAGGAAGGCTAAAGAAGAGTTGATTCTTTTAAGTTGTGGTGTTGGTGAAGAATACTGAAAGTACCATGGAGTGTGAGAAGAACTAGCAAACCTATCCTGGAAGAAGTGCAGCCAGAATCCTCCTTGGAAGTGAGAATGACCAAACTTCATCTCACCTACTTTGGTCATGTTATCAGAAGGGACCATTCCTTGGAGAAGGATATTATTCTTGGTAAAGTGGAAGGTTGACAACAAAGGGGAAGGCCCTCAGTGAGATGGATAGACACCGTGGCTGCAAGGATGGGCTCAGCTATGACAGGGGTTGTGAGGCTGGCACAGGACTGGGCAGTGCTTTGTTCTGTTGTACATAGGGACATTATGAGTTGGAGCTGACTCGATGGCATCTAAAAACAACAACAACCATGCACATGGATCACCTATTTTAGAAGAAAACCTAATTTAAAAAAATACTAGCAAAGTCCATAAAGCTGCCTAATATAAGACACAGCACCAGATGTTTAATTCTATGACAAGATGTGCGCTTCTTGGGGATACAGATTTCTGCCCGCGGGCATTGAGCTCAGCAGCTGGCACATCCCAGATATTCCACAAATGACTGGAGAAGGAGTGAAAAATGTGCATACTGAGTTGAATCAAGTGGAACTGAGAGTTGCAGAGGTTCTTCTTACAGCTCTAGGCAGGAGGAGTCTAAACTTCTCTCTAGAAACCAAGCCCAGTGAGGGACAGTGTTCTGGAGAGATGAAGGTCAAATGAGGCTGAGTTTCATGGTGGATCAGCCCATGATTCACAACATGCACTTGTACTTTAAAATTATCAATTGGGGCAATTTCTGGCCTCCAGGAGACATTGGCCAATGTCTGGAGACATTGTTAAGGAGCTCTGGTGATGTTGTGGTTAAGGCATTCAGCTGCTAACCAAAAGGTCAGTGGTTCAACCCACTGGGCACTCCACAGAAGAAAGATGAAGCAGTCTGCTTCTGTAAAGATTTATAGTCTTGGGAACTCTAAGGGGCAGTACTACCCTGTCTTACAGGGTTGCTATAAGTTGGAATCAGCTTGATGGCAGTGGGTTTGGTTCTTGGTTTGGAGACATTCTTGGTTGTTACAATGGTGGGGAGGCTGCATTGGCAATGGATGGAAAGAGGCCAAGGATGCTGCTAAACATCCTACAACACACAGGACAGCCCCCCAACAAAGAATTATCCAGCCCCAAATGTCCCTAGTGCCTTGCTTGAGAAGCCCTGAGTGGAAGTGATACACAAACAAGTCAATGCCAATACTATTCTCTCTGTTAAACCCTTCCTTACTCACCACCCCTGGAACTTCTATGTCTTTGCTCTCAAACACACAGTCCTCATTTTCCAATTCATCAAGCTGATCTTAACCTCCTTTTTGAGGATCCCAGCCAGCTCTGCTCCATCTCCCTGCTGCCATCACTTTGAGAAGGTGAGAAATGCCCAGATATTTGAGGAATGACCTTTCTGAGAAATCCTGGAAGAGCTGGTGAAGAGTTCAACTGTCCCTGAAGCTGGGAGTTCTTCCAGAAGAGTGCTAGCTCAGGGGGCTGGCTCTTGACAAAGTAAGGGAGTGGGACAATTTTTGAGGATTTTTCATGCAGACATCTCAGAAGGGATAAGGATGGTGTTGGCTCAGGAAGCAGCCAGCACATCAAAGAAGGTGCCTCTGCATCATGAGGCTTCTCCTCCAGGCAAATCAGGGGCAGCAGGGCTGCTCAAGGACTCTCTCCACTTCTGGGGGTCAGGGGAGGAAGCACAAGGAGTCCTAGATGCTCTCTGGGACCCCAAGACACACTTGGGCCTCTTTTATACTTCAGGCATCCCGATAACGTGATGGAGTCCCTGAGTGGTACAGTTAATGTGCTTAGCTGCTAACAGAAAGGTTGGAAGTTCAAGTCCATCCAGAGGCACCTTGAAAGAAAGGCTTGGCAAACTACTTCCCAAAAAAAAACAGCCATTGGAAACTCTCTGGAGCACAGTTCTATTCTGACACACATGGGTCATCGTGAGTCGGAATCAACTCAATGACAACTAGATTTATTGGGAACGTGATGGTCCTGCAGTGAGAGTGGGTGATAAGAGCCACAGAGGCAGGGTTCCATCCTGGCCCAGATGCTTAGCTACTTGTGACTTGGCAAGTTACCTAACTCCTCTCACCTTCTGTTTCCTCTTCTGTAAAATGGGTGCATTGCAGGGTTGCTATGAACTTACAATGATGTCATAGATGGGAACAGAGCTCTATAACTGGCCAGCTCACATACAGGTTTCCATAATTATTTAAATCTACCTGCACTATAGTTTTAGCTCATGCTTACCCTGGTTACCTACAGGTCATCTCTGTGGAGGGTGCCATGAAAGCTGCTGGCAGGGTCTAAGTCCTGGAAGATGGGGTCAAGGGAGACAACTGCAGATGTGAGGTCACTTAGGCACATAAGGAATGGGTTAATAAGAGATGGGGGTTGAAGTGGTGAGATTCAGACTCGTATCTGTCATGTTCTCCCACCTGGGGTCTGAAATGGACTGAAAATTTGCAGCAGCATACAAATAACAGTGAGTTAAGGTGGATGTGGCTACAAAGACTAAGAGGGAAGCTGGAATCAAGGGGGTCATCCAAGCCAGGGCATCCTAACACTGACTGCTGTGGCTAGTTGCCATTGAGTTGATTCTGATTCATGGCAACTATGCACACACAGAGCAAAATGTTTCCCGGTCCTCCACCATCCTCACAATCAACAGCATGTTTAAGTCCATCATTGCAGCTAACGTGCCAATCCATCTCACTGAGTCTCTACATCCTCGTGGGCTCTCTGCCTCACCAAACATGATGTCCTTCTCTAACGACTGATCCCTCCTGATGATGTGTCCCAAGCAAGCAAGTTGGAGAATGTTCTGTGGCGATCCACATGTTTTCATTGGCTAATTTTCGGAAGGAGATGTCCAGGTCTTTATTCCTAAATCTGCCTTAGTCTGGAAGCCCTGCTGAAACCTGTGCATCCTGAGTGACCCCGCTAGTATGTGAAACGCTGGGGGCATAGCTTCCAGCATCACAGCAACGCAAGAGCCACCGCAGTATCCTAAACTGACCAGTTATATGATAAACTATAGTCACACACTGACTACATGAGAACTTTTTCTGACATCATTGATGCAGCGGATGTTACGTGAGTGTCTACCCTGTGCCAGTCACAGAGAGAAACAGTATTAGTTTCTGCCTCTTGGAGCAGCCTTTTTTGGAAGAGCTATTGTGAGAATAAATGAGATCACAGATGTGGGTGGCATGCGGTAAGGGGACTGTTCTCATGACTGCTGCAGCTCATGCTGGGCAGAATCAAAGGCCCCGTGCTAGTCAGGGCCCCCTTTCCCTGTCAGGCAGGTTGCTCTCCAACAGGGAGAGAAGGTCAACCTGACAAGCCTTGTTCTTTTCCAGACCACGTGGGTCATTACTCAGGACTCTCTTTTCTTCCAGGTTTTTGCAAATGGATTTTGTGGTGATTTTTTTCAGGCATGTTGGCAGTGCTGATGGGGGAAATAAAAGAGCCCATTAACATCAGCACGGGGCCACGGAAGTGCTAAAATGGACGGAGAAGAGAGACAGCCATCACTAGAGCAGAAAGAACCAGAGGTTACCTGGGTCTCCACAATACGGCAGCGCAGGCAGTCTGATTCCTGGGGCTTTTCCTCAGTTTTTTGGGGACGAACCTTATTTTGTTGGATAAATTCTTCTAGCCTTAAAACCTAAGCAGAAGAAAGGAAACACTAGGCAAGGAACAGTCCAAGCTCAGGGGTACCTGCTAATCTGGGGACCAATTGTCCTGGATCACTCCATTCTGGGGAGAGTGCACCATTATAGAATTCCCAAAGAGTCCTTCAGGAAATGCTGTCCTTCCAAAACAAGATGAGCCTAACAGGTTTATAGAGTCTGGGTGGCTCAGTGAAGAGCCCGACTGTCAGCCTAAAGGCTGCTGGTTCGAACCCACCTGGAGCCGTCTTGGAAGACACAGCCGGTGATCTGCTCCCAGAAGGTCACAGCTTTGTAAACCCTACAGAGCAGTTCTCTGCACCCATGGGGTCGCCAAAAGCTGGAATCTACTCAACTGCAACTAAGAACTACAACAACAGGCTTACAGTGGTCCGTGTTTTTAACAATTGATTACATACATACGTCTCTACAAGATCTGCAGGGTGGCTTCATTGCCCTTCCTACCACTCCTGGAAGGCCACTCTGTTTCTTTTGGGGAAAAGTTAGTTGGTGAAGAAAAGGAACACTATCTAAGAATTGGATGGATAAAAGGAGAGAAGAGTGGTTGGGAAGTTTTGTTAAGTTGCAAATGCTTAGTTTTGATTATTAATATTAGCTAACTAATTGGAATATATCAATTAAACAGTTCGCCTTTTCTTCTCTAGACTTTGAGAACAATGAGGCTAGTTACAATAAAGGAAACTCAGACACCATTATTAATAAGCCTTGTGGAAAACCTAACACTTGTCAGGCACCGAGCTAGGTACGAGAAGGGAAGGGGAAGGGACAGAGTGAGAGCAAGATGTGGTCGTTGTTAGCTGCTGATGCTATGACCCCATGAACAACAGAGCAAAATGCTGCCCCGTCCTGTGCCATCCCCGTGATGGGTTACAGATCAGACCATTCTGATCCATGGGGTTTTCATCGATTGATTTTCGGAAGTAGAATACCAGGCCTTTCTTGTTTTATTTTCAATTTTAGGTGGCATAATGGTTAAAGCATTTGGCTGTTAACTAAAAGGTCAGTAGTTTGAAACCACCAGCTGCTCCATGGGAGAAAGATGTGGCAGTCTGCTTCCATAAAGATTTACAGCCTTGGAAACCCTATGAGACAGTTCTAGTCTGTCCTATAGGGTCACTATGAGTCGAAGTTGACTCCATGGCAGTGGGTTATGGTTTTATACTCTGCAAAACATACATCAGTTCAACAGTTTCTAGAGGTACAATTTAATGACACTTACTACCTTCTTTGAGTTGTGCAACCATTCTCACCCTCCTTTCCTGAGCTGTTCTTAACATAAACTCACTGCTCCCTAAGATTCCTATCTAATCTTTTGAGTTGGTATTGTCAATTTGATCCCACATCAACTCACTGCCGTCGAGTCGGATCCGACTCATAGCAACCCCTCCTTGGGTTTCCAAGGCAGTATCACTACAGAAGTAGATTGTCCAGTCTTCCTTCTGAGGAGTGGCTGGTGGGTTTGAACTGCCAGCCCTCTGGTTAGCAGTCAAATGCCTTAGGCACTACGCCACCAGAGATAGCTCTTAAGAGAGCACACTGCTCAAGGCAGACATTCTTCACTAATGAAGCTAAGCTATGGTTTGGCTTTAAGAAGTCTTCAGGGGATAATTTTGGTTTCAGGTTTGAAAATTATTTCAGGGCAATAGTTTCAGGGGTTCATCCAGCTTGCTTAGCTCCAGAAAGTCTGGAGTGCATGGGAATTTAAAATTCTATTTTGTATCTTTCTCCTTTTGATCAGGATTATTCTATGTACTCTTTGATCAAAATGTTCAGTAATCAGCCCGGGACCATCCAGTTCTTCTGGTCTCACAGCAAAGGAGGCAGTTGTTCATGGAGGCAATTAGTCTCACATTCCATTTCCTCCTCCTATTCCTGACTCTTTTTATTCCTTGGTTATTCCAGACAGCTCTTTCTTCCTAGTTCTTCTTAGTCTGGAAGCATCACTAAAACCTGTTCAGCATCTCAGCAACTACACAAGGCTCCACTGACAGATGGTGGCTGCCGACAGGTGCATTGACCCAGAAATTGAAGCCAGGTCTCCCACATGAAAGGTGAGGATTCTACCACCGAACCACCACCGCTTCATTTCCTTTGTTGAGCCTCTATAAGTCAGGCTCTCTCACTCACAGCTAAATTCATCCCTCTGAGACAGCCTTCCTGTCCGGGTCAAACATCCTCTCCTTTCTTCCCAAGATGCTGCATGTACAGAGGTCAGGGGAGTCCCCGGGATTTCTGGCATCTCAGTTAACCAGAAACTCCCAGGGGCAGGCCGTCATCACTCCTGAGCATTGCATGAATCTGGGGCTCACCTCCAGCAGCGAGTTCTGCAGCTTCACATTTAGGGCTGCTTTCTCTTCTTCCAGCTGCTTTATTTCATTTTCTGACTTCTTCTTCACTTCCTCCAGCTGGGCTTCGACTTCCTAGAAGATTACAGAAAGAATTAACCACACAAGGCAGGAAGACCCAGATGGGACCCTTATCTACTCACACCCTGTCTTAGTCCCAAAGGGGTTCCAAGTAGCTGGCAAGAGTCATAAGCATGGTAAGGAAACATAAACTAGAAATACCTGAGAAGGCAAAAAGAAAACAAATGTTAAATTCACACCTCTAATATGCATTGGGCAAATCTGCTGCAAAAGACCTCTTTAAAGTATTAAAAAGCAAAGATGTCACTTTGCTGACTGAGATGCACCTGACCCAAGCCATGGCATTTTCAGTTGCCTCATGTGCATGTGAAAGCTGGACAAAGAAAAGGAAGATAGATGATTCAATGCATTTGAACTCTGGTGGGGTGAAAAATATGGCCTATATACCAGGGACTGCCAGAAAAGTGAACATATCAATCTTAGAAGAAGAAATCCAAGCAGAATGCTCCTTAGAAGCAAGGATGGTGAGACCTTGGCTAGCTTACTCTGCACCATCTATGTTCACAATAAAGGTGACTTATACTTCATTCTTTTCATAAAACATTCACGTTATTTGCTTTTCCAGCAAACATGAGAGACTAGGCTTTGCATTCCTCTCGGCAGAAAGCCACCCCTCTTTGTAGGGGTTGAGATAGCACACTGTGGTAGTTATGTTTGTGTGTCAACTTGGCTGGGCTTGGTTGAGTGGCTGGGCAGCTGGATGTAGTTATTCCCCATGATGAGACTGGTAATCAACTCCAGGGTACAATCTACTGTGAGCAGCCCAGTAGCTGCCTTTGGGTATGTGGTCTGCTTCCCATATATAAGAAACAGCTTTGGGGATGGTCTCTAGCTTAGGGAACACTTGGACCCTGCATGTAGCTGTGTCATTGTTCAGCAGCCTGCCATGCTCTGCCAACCTTGGGACTTATGATGGACTTAAGTTAATGGCCTGCCATGTGGTTTGGTAACATTGGGACTATGCCTTTTTACTTGTTAACCTTGGGCTTCTCAGCCTCAGCAGACAGCAGCTGTCTGAGTGAAGAAACACCTCTAGCTCCAGTGGGCCAGGAGCAGGAGGCAGAGCTGGACTCCAAGGTTGAGGGGCTTTCACTCAGCCCCTAGAGCCTGGCACTTTGAACTTGGACTTAAAGCCTCCAACCTATAAGAGAATAAATTCCTGTCTGTTAAGGCTATCCCATTTGTGGTATATCCTTGTCAGGTGGCACTAGGGAACCAAAACACACACAGAGGCTGAGAATCTTCTCCACAGATTCCTTACCTGCATTCATGCATGAGGCAGGGTGGTTTGGTGGTAGAATTCTCACCTTGCATGTGGGAGACCTAGCTTCAATTCCCGGCCAATGCACTTCAGACACAGCCACCATCTGTCAGTGGAGGCTTTTGTAGTTGCTATGATGCTGAACAGGTTTCAGTGAAGCTTCCAGACTAAGATGGACTAGGAAGAAAGGTCTGATGACTGGCTTCCAAAAATCAGCCAATGAAAACCTTATGGATCGCAATGGTGTGATCTGCAACCGACCATCAGGATGCTCCAAGTCCAGGCAGTGGTTTGCGCCATTGTGCACAGAGTCACCATGATTTGGGGGCCGACTTGGTGACTGCTAACAACACACCTAATGCCTAGGATTTCCTAGACACTCTCACACGTTTTGTTTCTCCACATGGTTTACTTCATTTAATCCTCAGAGCTACTCTCTAAGGCACTACTATTATCATCCCATTATACACATGAGGATGAGTTACAGTTTCCCCCTGGAAGGGTCCAGGTCAAATCACCTGCCATGGTCACATTTAGAGGATGTGCAGTTGGGATTTGCATCCAGACAGTCCACCAGGCCTGAGTGTTGTTTCATATTATTTTCCTCTGTTATGTGCAATAAGTTAAATTTCCCTAAATTAAACATTCTTATGAATGTTGGCAAAGAATGCTGAAAGTTCCATGGACTGCCAAAAGAACTAACCAATCTGTCCTGGAGGAAGTGCAGCCAGATGCTCCTTGGAAGCAAGAATGGCCAGACTTCATTTGACCTACTTCGGTCATGTTGTCAGACAGGACCATTCCCTGGAGAAGATGCTTGGTAAAGTGGAGGGTCAATGAAAAAGGGGAAGGGCCACAACAATAAACTCAGGTATAGCATGGATTGTGAGACTGGCACAGGACCAGGCAGTGTTTTGTTCTGCTGTACATAAGGTCGCTATGAGTCAGAGCTGACTTGACGGCATCTAACAACAACATGAAACAAATACACCCTCTGTCACTGATTCCACATCCTGTTGTCTCGTGGTCCTAAAGGTGTCTGTCCCCTGTGTCCTTCAAAAGGCTGTGACCTCCTTTTGGGCAGGGACTGTGTCTTTCATCTGTCTGGACCCAGGGAACTGGCTTAGGGCCAGCACACAACAGGAGCTCAGCAGATGTTTGAGGAAGAAAAGAAGAAATAAAACCAGAAAGAAAGGAGGTAGGAGAAAAGAAAAAGAAACAGAATGGTATCTGTTATGGGCTCAATTGTGTCCCCTAAATGTGACTTTATTTGGAAAGTTATTTTTGGTAGACACAATCAAAATAAGATGAGGTCATTAGGGTGGGCCCTAATTCAGTATGACTGATATTCTTCTAAGAAGAAGAGAAGAAACACAGAGACACAGGCACATAGAGAGAATGCCAGATGAAGGTGGAAACAAGAGATTGGCGCGATGCACCTACCAATCAAGGAACACCAAGCATTGCCGGGAACCACCAGAAGCTAGGAAGAGGCAGGATCTTCCCCTGGAGCCTTCAGACAGGGCATGGTCCTGCTGCCACCTTGATTACAGACTTCTAGCCTTCAGAACTGTGAGACAATGAATGTCTGCGGCTTTAAGCCATCCAGTTTGTGGCATTCTGTTACTGCATCCCTGGGAGACAAACACATTATCCTTCAAAGGAAATCTCACCTTCTGCAGCTTCTTCCGCTCAGCTTCCACAGACAAGTGAACTGATTTGATTTCCACTGTATGCTTCTTCACCAAGTCTTCCAGTCGCTTCACCAGCTGGTCTTTGAGATGTTTCTTCTCTTCTTCTGTCTGATGTCTGATTTTACGAAGGTCTTCTTCATATTTTTGCTTCATATGTTCTGTGTCAACACTTGCCTCTTTCTTGGTCTATAAAAAGAGAAAAAAAACCTTGGAAAATTGCTGGAATGGTGGTGGTGGGGGGAAGCAGGGACTCACCAATTCTGTTTTATACAAATTTTACCCATGTTTATATTCTGATTTTACAGTATGTGTCACAAGGTGCAAAAAATTTTACAAGGGCATATATTTGATATTTGTAAGAACTAGACTGTATCCACCATTGGAAAAGGGCTCTTTGGGATGGCCTATCGATTGCCACAGAATCAGATAGTCCAGCATACCACTGTCATTTTTAAAGAATGCTTTGTTGGTTTCTACTGAAGAACATATAATGGCATCCTAAGCAAGGTTATGGAGTCTCGGATGGTACAAAAGGTTAATGCATTTGGCTGCTAATTGAAAGGCTGGAGATTCGAGTCTACCTAGAGATACCTCAAAAGAAAGGTCTAGTGATCTACTTCAGGACAACCAGCCATTGAAAAACCCTATGGAGCACAGTTCTGCCAACACACATAGCATTCACTGATTTGGAGTCTACTCAACGGCACCTGGTTTTAAGCAAGTTTCTCAGGTGCTGACAATAAGGAGTTGGTTGTATTCTGCTTTATCCTAAATCTCCTACTTCTAAATGCCAAGAGATTGGCAGGAAGTTGGCTGGAAGTCCCCTCTCATCCATACTCCCCCAAACCTGGGACCTGCTAATTCCAAGTAGATCTATCCTGGTTGGGGACTGGCCTCTACCTCAAGCCCATTCCAGCCTGCTGTGACTTGCCCATCCCCAGGCCTGGTCGGACACTACCTGTGTATCTGTGCTTCCTTTTGGGCCTGGGCATGCCTTGGTAAAGGTCTGGTCCTGCTGAGGATGAAGATTGTGGGATTCCAAGTCATTCGCTTCTCCCATGACTTCTTTCTCTGAAATTAGCTCAGTCTTTGTGTCATCTGCAAGTGTAAGTTTCAACATCATTTGGAAGGTCCTTGTCTTGGCCTCATTTCCGAGGCCTCCCACAGTAAGGTCCCCGTTCCCCTATCCACTTGTTTGGTCCACTCCCCTATATAACCCTTGCTCCACGGTCTACTGGCCCTCAAGCATGGCCAAGGTCATGATTCTCATCTTTCATTAAGCAGCATCCTGAGCTAAATGTTTACTCTGCTCTGCTTTCCTAAACTAAGCGTCTCTAAATATTTTTAATTATTCTTTTCATAAGTTAAAAAAAATTTTTTTTCTTTTCTTTTTCACTTATGGAAAACATAATAAAAAAATGTTCCAATGAATGGTTAATGGTGATGGTTGAATACATAACGAACATAATTAGGGTCACTGAACTGTTTGGTGAAGATTGTAGAAATGGCAAATGTTTTGTTAACTATATATTTGCCACAATTAAAAAAAAATGTTCCAATCATCATGATGGTGGCACAGGACCAGGCACTGTTTTGTTCTGTTGTACATAGGGTCGTTCTAAGTCAGAACCAACTCGGTAGCACCTAATAACTACAATAACGTGAGAGATTCTGGAGTCCCTGGGTGGTGCATACAGTTAATGCAACCAAGTGCTAACAGATAGGCTGGTGGTTTGAATCCACCCAGAAACATCTCAGAAGAAAGGCCTGGTGATCGACTTCCAATAAATTGGCCACTGAAAGCCCTGTGGAGTAGTTCTACTCTAACACACATGGGTTCATCATGAGTGGAAGTCAGGGATCATAGCCCCAAGCCTGGCACATAGCAGGTGTTCACATAGCAGGTGCTGCTTAGTGGAAGGCTCTTTGGAATCAGATATTCTAACATGCAAATGCCAATCCTACCACCAACCATGCATCTAACCTTGATGCTGTCACTTTACCTGTCTCAGCCTCATTTCTTCATCTATAATGTGTGATACTGACAACACTCATCCCACAAAAATTATTGGGAAGATCCAGTCATGTGATGATGTGAAATCATGTTCAAGTGTAAAGAGTTGTCTATACGTGGCAGGAGAGCTCATGCTGAGAGGTTCAGGCACAATGGTGAGCCAGTGAGGAAATATCTGGGGGTAAAGGATCCTTTTGAATCATGCCATTTGTTATGGATTGAATTGTGTACCCTCGAAATATTCTTGGAATACTAACCCCTATACCTGTGGAAGCCATGGCTTGGGTCAGGCGCACTTTAGTCCTCAAAGTCACGTCTTCAACAAGGAACAAGGAAGATTGAAGAAGAATTGATGTCTTTGAATTGTGATGTTGGTGAAGAATATTGAATATACCATGGACTGCCAGAAGAACAAACAAATCTGTCTTGGAGGAAGTACAGCCAGAATGCTCCTTAGAAGCGAGTGAGGAAGGTCTCACTTACTTTGGTCATATTATCAGGAGTGACCAGTCCCTGGAGAAGGACATCATGGTTGGTAGCATAGAGGGTCAGCAGAAAAGAGGAAGACCCTCAAGAAGATGGACTGACACCATGGTTCCAACAATGGGCTCAAACACAGCATCAGTTGTGAGGATGGTGTAAAATTGGGCAGTGTTTTGTTTGGTGTACGTAGGGTCGCTATGAGTTGGAATCGACTCAGTGGCACCTATCAGCAACATACCTGTGGATATAATCCCTTTTCTGCAATAGAGTTTTCTTTGTTATGTTAATGAGGTCATATTAGAGTCAGGTGTGTCTTATGCCAATCACATTTGAGATATAAAAGAGCAGATTAGGCAGAGAGGCAAGCAAGCATGAATGGGGAAAAACAGATGCCACATGGAGATCTTCAAAGAATGTCCAGAGAAGGTGAGACAAGGATTTCTTCTCAAAGAAGACAGAGAGAGCCTTCCCTTAGAGCCGGCACCCTGAAATTTGACTTCTAGCCTCCTAAACTGTGAGATAATATATTAAATCCACCACTTGTGGTATTTCAATTATGGCAGCACTAGAGAACTAAGATACCAGTAGGTGATCAGCCTGCACTAGCGTTAGGTGAAGCTTCTCCAGGTGTCAACTTCCTTGGGCCCTGCAGGGATTGGGCTCATCCACCAGGTGGATTCAGAGGACATAGTCCTGCCCCTCCACTCTGCTTCCTTAACAATCTCAAGGCTGCAAGTAGCGCTAGGCCAACCTGGGCATTAACCTTCAATCTTTAAGGAAATCATTTCAAGGTATCTCACCAGTTTTCTGTGACACATGACATTCCTGAAGCATCAGTCTGTCCTTGGCAACAGCCAGCTTCTCCCCAAGTTTTTTGGCTGTGCTTTTCAACTCCAAGTTCTCCTGGCGAGCCTCTCTAAGCTGCACATCCAGGTCCTAAACAGACAGAGAGGTCTCATTTCTCAGTTTTGTGGTTATAGCTTTGAAGGGAGACATCTTTGTGCACAAACCATTCAGAGAATCTTTAAGGAAGGCAAGTGTACAGCATAAGTCCCTGGCCTCTGGAATTCAGTGGCTCAGAGGTCATCAAATCCTTGCCCATCCTGATTGGTGGGTGTGGGCAATGTTTAATCTTTCTGTGGTCAGATTAAATGAGATAAAGTGTCTGGTACAGAAAAAATGCTCAGGGAGTATTAGGAATACCAGCACCTGCTATTTTCAGAGATAGGGTTCTGTGGGTTTATGGGATTCCCATCACCAACTCAGACCATGACCTGGTTCTGCACAGAACACAAGTCCTCAAGATTATAGGTGTTATCCTGAAATGAGCAAAAACAAAAACAAACAAACAAACAAACCCCCAAAAACCAAACTCACTGCCATCAAGTCAGTTTAATTCGACTCATAGCGACCCCTCCTTGAGTTTCTGAGGCAGTATCTCTATGGAAGTAGATTGCCCAATCTTCCTTCCAAGGAGTGGCTGATGGGATTGAACCACCAGCCTTCTGCTTAGCAGTCAAATGCCTCAGGCACTATGCCACCAGAAAATTAGCAGGGCTTTAGAATTAGGCTGACCTGAGTTCAAAAACCGATTCTGCCTCTCAGTACTCGGTGCTCAGCTAGGAGCAGGATGGTGCAAATGGTTAAACACTCAACTGCTAACTGAAACGCAGGCAGTTCAATTCTACCCAGAGGCACCTCAAAAGAAAGGCCTGGGAATCTATTTTCAAAAAGTCAGCCACTGAAAACCCTATAGAGCACAGTTCTACTCTGACATACATGGGGTCACCACGAGTTGAAGTTGACTCAATGGCAATTAATTACCACTCAGCTACGCCAGTCCTTAGGAGCTCTGGTGGTGTAGTGGTTAAGGCATTTTGGCTACTAACCAAGAGGTTGGTGGTTCAAACCCACCAGTTGCTCCTTGGAAGAAAGATGAGGCCATCTACTTCCATAAAGATTTACAGCCTTGGAAACCCAGTAGGGGTTGCTATGAGTCGGAATCAACTCAATGCCAGTGTGTTTTGTTTGGTTTTGGAGGCCAGTCCTTAAGCCTCCCAATTTGAATCTTGTTTTCTCAACTGTAAACTCCAACTCTCTAAGCTTTTTGAGGTCAGGGACCAGGACTAGCTTACCACATATCTCTGCCCATATCTCCAGGCCAAACTATGGGCAGCTGTTCACTAAATATTTGCTGAGTAACTGTAGTTGAGTTCAACAGAAATAATAATGCCCACCTTGGTGGAAGTCAAGTGCCTAGCACAGGCCTGGCACATAGTAGATGTTCCACACTAGGGGCCGTACTTATTATCCAATTTGAAAGTCAGGAAGGAATCATGCTTTACCTGGATCCTTTCCTTCAGCTTCTGGGCATACTTCTTCAGGTCACTTATCTTGCGACCCCTGTGCTCCAGATCCCCTTCCAGCTTCCTGACCTGGGCCTGCAGGGCTGACTCCTGTACCTGGAAGTTCTTGCGGAGGTCTGTCTCCTTCTCCTGCCATTGCCACAGGGCCTCGCTCACTGACTGCTGCATGGCCTGCCTGATGGCCTCATTCTCCCGCTCATAGGTGGCCTGCAGCTCCTCAGCCTTGCGGGCATAGTCCTTGCTCAGCTGCTGGTTTTCCACACGCAGTCGCTCCACCTCCAGCAGGACCTCCTGCATCTCAGGGCCATGGCCCTGGCCCAGCTCTGCCTTGTTGTTGGCACTCTCTTGTGGAGGGCGGCCCCACTCAGGCGCCTCATGGCTGGTCAGGTGCCGGAGCCTCTTCTCATAGTCAGCCTTGAGTTCCAGCATCTCCCTGGACAGGGTCAGGATCCTCTCGGCATGCTCTGCCTCCACCCTCAGTTCTCGCTCTTTGGTCTCCAGCCTGTAAGTGGCTGACTCGGCCAGAGCCTCTTGGGTCAGCCTCTTCTGCAGCTGCAGGGCATTCTCCAGGGTCTGAATGCGCTGCAGAAGGATGTTTTCCTCTGCGCGGCCCTGGTCCTGCAGGAGGCTGGCCTTGGTCTCTGCGACTGCATTCTGGAGCTCCTCCTCGTGGGCCTCTCGCAGGGCTTCCATGCTGGCTTCGGCTTCATCCTGGCGGGTGTTCAGGGCATAGATCACCTGCAGGAAAATCAACAGAGCCCAGTCAGTGTGAGGAGTGTGTGTGTGTAAGGGGCCTCCCCCATGGTGGTGTCTTATAGTTAGGGGCTTTCAATGGCCCCACATCTGAACAGAGGTTGTTTTTTTTTTAAGTAGTTTACTAGAAATTATTCGCAGATGAAACCAGTAAAGATGTGGGATAGGGACAGGGATGAAGCAAAACAAAGGGGTGATATTGCACAGACCCACAGAGTAGCTTTGACTTAATTCCACAGATGGCCTCTTGTGTCCAATGGGAATCCAGTGAAGGGTTTTCATGTAGAGAAGTGCAAATAGATTAGATGTGATCTAATTTATTCAAAAGCACACTTTCTGAAAAGAACAGCAAATTGCATCCAGCAACATATATAAACTATTCTATACCATGACCAAGTGGGATTTATCCCAGGAATGAAATGTTGGTTTAACATCCCAAAATCGATTGAGGTAATATACTACATCAACCAAATAAAGGACAAACGGATACAGAAATGGATACAGAAAAATAATTTGATAAATTTGATACCCTTTCATGATAAAAAACATTCAACAAACTAGAAATAGAAGGAAACTTCTTCAACCCCATAAAGGGCATCTTTAAAAAACCCATAGTTAACATCATACTTAATGGTAAAAGACTGAATGCTTTCCTCATAAAATCAGTAGCAGGGCAAGGATGACTGCTCTTGCCACTTCTATTCAACATTGTACTGGAGATTCTAGCCAGGACAATTAGCAAGAAAATGATCTAAAATTTCATTTCAAGATTTTTAAATAATGTATGCTCATTTGCTTGACCCCACTTTTTCGCTTTGCCTTAATATATCCAGGTGAAAGGTCAGGCATGCTCTCTTGTCACTAATTTCGCAGCACTGAGGCACTCACCCCTGTCTAAGGTAGATTTGGTAGCAGTGGGAGTGTGGGCACAAGTGTCTGATCACTGGTCCTGTACAGCAGTTGAGGCCATACTGGGAAGGGGTGTTGGTCACCAACTGTCATCGACCCAGTTGTGCTGAAGCAGATGGGACCACCCATCCAGTGAGCAGTGCAGCAGGTGTGGCATGTATGGCTGCATAGAGTCAGTGGCTCCTGACTAATGAGGAAAAAGACAAAGAAGGGGGATAAAAGGAAGGAAAAAAGAGAAATAGTTATAAATACATAAAGTTGGAGGGAAGATGGAAGAAATAAGAAGAAAGAAAAAACTAAAAGGAATAAGTGGCAAAGGAGCAGCACAAGTGCCGGCTGCCAAACACACAAGTGTGGTGGCTATGGCTGGAGAGAGTTGTGGGTTCTTGTCTGATGGAGAAGAAAGAAAAAGGAGGGGAAGAAGAAGAAACACTGAGCAAGTGGGCGGTCTTTCCAAGGGTTTCGGGCTTTACTTGGTAAAGCAGAGGGTCAGTGAAAAGGGAGAAGACCCTCAAGGAGACATACTGACACAGTGGCTGATGAGCTCAAGGATAGCAACAGAGGGTGGTGCAGGACCAGGAGTGGTTCATTCTGCTGTACACAGGATTGCTATGAGTTGGAACTAACTCGATGGCACCTAGCAACAATGGCTTGCTTTCAGAGAAAACTTCAGTGGTGGGCCTGTTAAGGTCTGAGAGGTTGAGTGCTGTAGGTTTAACAAAGTTGTCATGAATGGCTTATGAATGTCAGATCCATCAAATCTGGCCACAGGAGTCCAAAGTGGAATGGAAAAGCAAAAAAAGAAGTAGTATTTGTTGAGTGCCTAGAGTACTCCTATTGGGCTAGCTAACTTAACTGTTTTTCAAATTAATCTTCTGACAATTCTACAAAATGGATACTGTTATCCTATTTTACCAATGAGGAAACTAACATTGGGTGAGGTTAATTTAAGAAGATAGTGGTAGTTCAGTGGTAGATTTCCTGCTTTTCATTCTGGACACTAAGGAAACCTGGTAGTGCAAAGGTTAAGCACTCGGCTGCTGAATCAGACATCAGTGGTTCAAATCTACCAGTGACTCTCCGAGAGAAAAGACCTGGCTATTTGCTCCTGTAAGGATTACAGCCTAGGAAACCCTATGAGACAGTTCTACTCTGCCATCGAGGGTTACTATGAGTTGAAATCAACTCGTGGTACACAACATGAAGGAGATTCCCAGCCAATACACATCATGCATGGTCACCACCCAAATGCCAATGGAGCCTCACATGTTGCTATGATACTGAATAAGTTTCAGTGGCGCTTCCAGACTAAGATAGACTAGGAAAAAAGACCTGGTGATCTCCTTCCAAAAAGTCAGCCAAGGAAACACCTATGAATCCTAATCATCCAATTGCTCTGTGCATGAGCCAGACGCTGACTCCACAGCAGCTAAAAACAACATAACAACTTAAAATGTTGGCGATGTGGCATGGTGCTTGAAAGGAGGCTTTAGAGGCTGCGAAGCCTGGGCCCACATCCTAGCTCTAGGTCTATGACCTTGAACCGCAGTCACTGAACCTCTCTGAGTCTCAGAGAGCTGACCTATGGCATGGAGAGAGCAACACCTACTTCACAGACTTGTTTCAATCTGTATGCTGAGCAAATAATCTGAGAAGGTGGACTATATAAAGCAGAACACATCATCAAGATCGGAGGAAGGCTTACTGGCATCCTGTGATATGCAGATGACACAACCTTGCTCGCTGAAACTGAAGAAGACTTGAAGCACTTACTGATGAAGATCAAAGACTACAGTCTTCAGTATGGATTACACTTCAACATAAAGAAAATAAAAATCCTCACAAATGGACCAATAAACAACATCACAGTAAGTGGAGAAAAGATTGAAGTTGTCAAGGATTTCATTTTACTTGGATCCACAATCAATGGCCATGGAAGCAGCAGTCAAGAAATCAAATTATGTATTGAATTGGGCAAATCTGCTACTTTAAAGTACTGAAGAGCTTCTTTAAAGCACTGAAGAACAAAGATGTCACTTTGAAGACGAATGTGCTCCTGACCCAACCCACGATACTTTCTTTTTTTTTTTCACCTACTTTGGTCATGTTGTCAGAAGGGACCATTCCCTGGAGAAGGACATCATGCTTGGTAAAGTGGAGGGTCAATGAAAAAGGGGAAGGCCCTCAACAAGACAGACCGACTCAGTGGCTGCAACAATGGGCTCAGGTACAATAAGGATTGTGGGGCTGGTGCAGGACCGAGTAGTGCTTCATTCTGTTGCACACAGATTTGTGATCAGTCAGAGCTGACCCAGCAGCAGCTAACAACAACACTGAAGGGGTCAGCGGCACCTAACAACAACACTGAGGGCCTGTCAGTACTCTGTGCATTTTCCTACCAAACCCAAAGAAGTATAAAAGAAATAGATATTTCTTTGAGTTTGGTAGGAAAAAGGGAGTTCTGGTGGTGTAGTGCCTAAGGCATTTGACTGCTGAACAGAAGGCTGGCCATTCAAACCCACCAGCCACTCCTTGGAAGGAAGGTGGGGCAATCTACTTCCGTAGTGATACTGCCTGAGAAACCCAAGGAGGGGTTGCTATGAGTCAACTGACTTTACAGCAGTGATTTTTTTTTTTTTTTTTTTTTTACTGGATACTTGCTCATGTCGCCTCTTGTTCTTTCTCTCTGTATACCTTCTCTCACCCTACTGTTGACATATTGGTTGAATACCAAGCCCTTGGCTCAGTTAACCTGGCACAGAGACATAGTCACAGCCCCTTGAGCTTAGTCTTATAGAGCTGTGTTTCCATACTGTTTCAGGTCAGCCAGGGCATACTGGGAGAGGTCACTTGTGCACCACAGTGGGGAGAACAGAAGAGGCTGCTGGTGGGGAAGCCACTTGCCAGGGCTCTAGCTGCCTGGGCTGAGAGGGTCAATATATCTCAGCATGTGTGTGGACATGTGCACACACGTGCACCCGGGAGGCAAAGTTTTCCTAGCAATTCTACTGTGAGAAGGGTACTCAGCTCCCACTACCATCAGACAAAGATCTGCTTGTTGGCCTTGTGAAACTGGTCAGGGTTGTACTACCTGGAAGCTGATCACTCTGGGCCCTCTTGTTCAGCCAACCCGTGATATTTTCAATCACCTCATATGCATATGAATAAGGAAGATCACAGAAGACTTGATGCATTTGCCTTGTAGTATTGCAAAGAATATCGACTCTCCTATGGACTGCTACAAGAAGGAACAAATCAGCCTTGGAGGCAGTACAGCTGGAATGCTCCTTAGAAGCGAGAATGGCCAGACTTCACCTCTCGTACTCTGATCATGTGAGAACGGACCAGTCCCAGGAGAAGGATATCATGCTCGATAAAGGAGACAGTCAGAAAGAAAAAGAGAAGACCCTCAGTGAGATGGACTGACACAGTGGCCGCAATGATGGGCTCAAGTGCGGCCACGGTTGTGAGGATGGTGCAGGACCGGGCAGTGTCTCATTCTGCAGTGTACGTAAGTTGAAACCAACTCAACGGTGCCTAGCAACAACAATCTGCTTGCAGATTAGATGATATATAAATCTAAAACCTTAGCAGCAATGCTAGCACTCAATAAACCTTCATGAAATATTATGTTGCTATTGTTACTTCCATAGTGATACTGCCTCGGAAACCCAAGGAGGGGTCGCTATGAGTCGGGTCTGACTCGACGGCACATAACAAACAACAACAACAATTGTTGTTGTTGTTAAGTGCCGTCGAGTTGTTTCTGACTCATAGCGACCCCATGCACAGCAGAACGAAACACTGCCCTATCCCGCGCCAGCCCCACAATCCCTGCTATACTTGAGCCCATCATTGCAGCCACCATATCAATCCATCTCATTGAAGGCCTCCCCCTCTTTCGTTGACCCTCCACCCTACCAAGCATGATATCCTTCTCCAGGGAATGGTCCCTTCTTACAACATGACCAAAATAGGTCTCCAATAAACAATTGTTACTATTGTTAATATGACTGTCAAAAGTCATTGAGCCAAAAACTCACAGAGCTGAGGTTCAGACTCAAACCTTTCTGTCC